GATATCATTTGAGAATACAAATTCTTATTGTGCCCAAAAAAGGGATTTTGATTAGAATCATTAGAAAAACCAATCAAAAGATTTTGTTGATACATTCAAGTAATCAAACGTTTTACAATTAGTAAACTGAATTTATTGTTAGAACCTGCATTTTTTAAAAAAAAAGTGACTTTAAGTTGAGGGATAAAAAATGTGCATATATTAGAAATTGATAGACTAAAAAAGTGCAAATTTATATAAATTTAACGGATTAACTGATGAAAGGATTAAAAAATTACATTTTTTTTAAGTTAAGAGACCAAAAAAGTGCAAAAAAAGTTAAAGGATGAAAATTGTGCAAAACCTTAAGTTGAAGGACCAAAATTAACATTTAAACTTTATATTTCTAGTTCTACTGTAGCCTAATTTTTAGTTTTGATTGTAGTTGATAGCTTAATCTAGTGGAGGTTATACGCCTCATCCTTATGGTCAATACAACAATACATATCAACCTTCCGTATATACTGTTAAGGCTTCAAGGCCTAAGAGCTCCTCATCAATTTGACAAAATCCCAATTTCATATGCTAATGCATTCAGGTAGTTGGCAATCACTTGTCAAATTGTTCCAATTATCATAGCACCAGGAAGACCCCCTTTTCCTGCATGGTATAACCCTTAAGCAAGCTGTGAGTATCATGATGGTGCAATTGGGCATGATTATGAGTCTTCTTTAGCTTTACATCATCATGTTCAAGAGTTCCTTTCAAAGAAACTTAAGTTTGAGTGTGAGACAACACCTGGTTCCAATGTCATCCATAACACATCGGCGGGTAATAAGAAGAAAGATGATTTGGTTGAAGCCTTTGGAAGAATGAGCATATGTTCTATTGACGATGAGACTAAAGCCAATATGGCAATTGTGCCTGTTTTATGGCAAACCCTTCAGCACTTGCATAGTGGAATTCCTTCCTCTGCCTACTTTCAATATGTAAGGCGTGTTAGTCCTCTTGTAGTTTAGCTTGTGGCTACAAGAAGGACGGTTCAACAAGCATTTTTATATTTCTTGAAGCTTTGCTATCATAATGAATAATGTTCTCAATTTTTCCAAATTCAACAAGACATGTTACACTCTATATAAACCATTGTATTTAAATGCAATATAATAAAATTCCAAGTTTAATCGACATTTATTTTGCCAAATACCTTTTCAAAAAGTTCACTCAATTCTTGCTCATTCTACCTTACTTGTTTGTTCACATTTTCTCTTTTACTGATGATGAATCTAGAAATAGTTATGTCATTCCTGAAATGACATGGCTCTAATTCCAAAGGACCAATTTATGTTGTGGAAGATAAAAAAGAATTAGATGTTTCCCTTTGTATTAACTGAAATGTGTTGTGAAAGATAAAGAGGAATTAGAACTTTCCCCCAAATTAACTTTCCCTTGAATTAACTAAAATGTTCAAGGAATCTAAGTTAAAAAACAACCCAATCAATTGGAGATGGCCAACACTTTTTTGCTATAGGTCTGGGCACAGCCCCCATTCCCAGTCTTCTTATGTTAGGTGTGGGGTCTTATTCCTTTCACAGAATTAAATCTGCATGCATCCCCTTTCTCCTGGTGGGCTGGTCAACACGTTTTCACTAAGTCTAAATCCCACACGCATAATTAACTACTACTTTTGTTTTAAAATAATACATTTTTTTTAATTAGTTAAAACTCTATTTGGGTCCCTAATCTATTGTATGGATTCTCGATTTGGTTCCTAAACTAAAAAAATCCATGATTTAATCCTTATTGTTTATTATTTTAGACCCGATTTTGTCCTTCTGTTAAAAATCTACCTACGTGTCCCATTAATTTACGATAACAAGATGATGTGTTAAAATATTAACACACATGGAAGACAACATGACAAAAAAATAGTGACATGAAAAAAAAATATGATAAAAAATATTAATATGAGAAAAAAATACTGATATG